AGTTTAATCATTATGTTACTTCACAATGTGTAGTTTAATCATGTTACTTCACAATGTGTAGTTTAATCATTATGTTACTTCACAATGTGTAGTTTAATCATGTTACTTCACAATGTGTAGTTTAATCATTATGTTACTTCACAATGTGTAGTTTAATCATTATGTTACTTCACAATGTGTAGTTTAATCATGTTACTTCACAATGTGTAGTTTAATCATTATGTTACTTCACAATGTGTAGTTTAATCATTATGTTACTTCACAATGTGTAGTTTAATCATGTTACTTCACAATGTGTAGTTTAATCATGTTACTTCACAATGTGTAGTTTAATCATGTTACTTCAAAATGTGTAGTTTAATCATTATGTTACTTCACAATGTGTAGTTTAATCATTATGTTACTTCAAAATGTGTAGTTTAATCATTATGTTACTTCACAATGTGTAGTTTAATCGATGTTACTTCACAATGTTTAAGAAGTAGGATCTTTATCAAATTAAATTTTGAAAATAATATAATTTATTAATGTCTATTTTTCACTGTACCATTTCATTGTTCCAAGTAAATTTAGTACACATTTTTTTCAAAGAACAATAGGAAACATTGTTTATATATGTAAACTTTCACAAGTTTATGAAGATAAAATACCGACACATTTCACAAAAGAATAGACTTCTATCTGAAGAAAACCGTTTAGAAACTTTATCAAAATAGTTTTCTTTTAATATTGCCATGTTTTATGAATTTAACATAAAATAATACTTTTATCCTTCGCACTTTCTGGATGAAACCTCTGCTCTTCTAAACTTTAGTCCATACTGCTACGTATTCACAGCAGGATAATTCTAACTGGCATCAGTTTCCCACTGTCTCATCTCAAAATTTTAATAATAAAACCTCATTCCTAATAGATATCTAAAACTAAACAGTTGCACAACTTAAAGGCAGTATGTTTATATTAAAAGGCCACTTTCATTATAGAATATCAGATTGGTGACACGTACATGCAAACTGTAAGAATCTGTGAATATACGCAATCAAAGTTTCAGTACATCATTAAAGTGTTTTTTGATAACTATAAGGTGACATACATGCAGTCGATAACAATATTAAGTTTATATAAAATGAGATATTCACAAGGTTTCAAAATCTCTAAACTAATTTTTTGATAAAATTGACTGTCGCTTAACAAAAGATGTTTTATACATTTTCCATCTTGAAATTGTTATTTTACAAAATATTGTACCGTTATAAAACTTCTTTCTGTTGCTAAAACATATAATTACACTTGGTAGGAAATGTGTAACTACCAGAATTAAGGTACAGTTGAAACACCATTGCTTGTAAATAATACTGCCATAGTTACAATGAAATGTTGTCCACTCAGAATCCAAAAACTTATTAATTCACTGTATCTAGTCAACTTCTAACCCTTTACAACTACAACACAATAATATTGCAAGTTATACTTTCTGCTACATTCAGGTGCCTCTTGTAACAATGTACTGTTATTAAACTACTTGTCATTTAAGTTCTGACAAAATAAAAAACCTTTTGCTTATACTTGCATATTTATGTAATTGTGTAGCTGTAAAAGTCCTATAATATCTTGTAACAATGTACTGTTATTAAACTACTTGTCATTTAAGTTCTGACAAAATAAAAAACCTTTTGCTTATACTTGCATATTTATGTAATTGTGTAGCTGTAAAAGTCCTATAATAGGCTGCTTTTCTATACAAAAACTATTTCTTGTCTATTAAAACTTGTACTGTAAGTTTTATTTCAGAGCTGCTAGTTTGTGTCTTACTTCTTATGGCAAACATTTTACACATTTTTTCAACAACAACATTGTGTCGATGCATTAGCGTAAAAACAACAGCTGAAATAGAACACACAAAGTTTATAGTTGAAACATGTGGTTCTAGTAATGAATGCTTTGGTTTGCAAACACATGCTCGTGAAAAAATTAATATTTGGTAAATTTAAATCAAATTACACAATAAATGATCAAGTCTCTTTAAATCAAATATAAAATATCAAAACGATATGAGAGTTTAGGTTGGGGTAGGAAATAATAGCATGTTCGGTGCAACTTTCAGATAAATAAATAAGCATTCATGCTTTGATAAATAGTATTCATACTGAGTTGACTGTGAAATAGTTGGCAACTGCCTATTAGAGAAAACACTTGCAGAAATATATTGGTGACAATCAATTCAACTGTCACTCACTTCAGAGGGTATTTCTAGAATTAATTCTTTGTGTGATGACCAAGGCCAAACACTGTAAAGGTGCACATTTACAACAATAACTAGGCCTTACCAACAATGTGCATTAAGTGAAGCATATTTTTTCTCTCAACTGCACCGATGTTGGCATATGTTGAATAACTGAAACAATTTCTAACTATTAGATGAGTGGTTAAACTAAATATCTGTTAATTAGATATACAAACCCCTAAATGGGTTCAAAACGAACCAGCATACCTTCATATGGCTGCGAAATATTTTAATTTTTTACTCGTCCGCACTATTTATTCTAGATCAGTATTTCTCCACTGGTGGAACGCGAGACACGCAGCTATTGACTGCCGTGGGCTGAGATTGCCTTAAATTAACAAGTCATCGACTGCATATGTGGGGCTTTACTACTGTGCCAAATAACTAAGTGAGCCTTGAGGTGTAACGGGTTGAGAAACCCTGCTCCAGCTGGAGATGCAGTAAACATTTAATTTGTACAAGATGATGAACTAATGCCAGTGTATTTTGTTCACTCAATAAGTACAAGTCTTAACAAGTTAAAACTGAAATCAGTTCAAGAGTAAATTAGAAGAGTTTCACGTAATAAAGTGATGGTTCGGAACAGTCATACATGCAAGTGTCGCTCGTCCTTGTCACAGTTACATCAATAATAACTGACTTTCCATCAGAATTTAGATTATTTTAATTGTACAGTTTTCTACTGAACTACACTTAGTTAGTTCTCTATATTAGTGGGGTCTTGAAGTGGTAATATAAGTAGTTATATGTTATGTGTGTGTGTGAAGTGGGGTCTTGAAGTGGTAATATAAGTAGTTATATGGGAGTCTTGAAGTGGTAATATAAGTAGTTATATGTTGTGTGTGTGTGTGTGAAAGTGGG